CTCTCTCTTTCTATCGCTCTCTCTTTCTATCTCCCCATCTTGAACAAGCGACTTGCTTTTGCTCATGTTGGAGTGCAATTGAGGAATTGGTGTGGAGGGAATTATTAGTCTGTTGCATGGTTTAGGGTATTTGCTTTCTAGTCCAGTATGACTACCGTCTTCGTCCGGAAATAGCACCCGGGCGTTGTATTCAACTTACCGTAAAAAAGTCAGATTTTTGTTTTTACTCACTTTCTTTCAAGTAGAATGCCCTTTCGAATATAACGCTTGGGGCGTTGTATTCGAATAGAAAGCGTGGACGTTATATTTGAATGTGCCATGGGCAGACTGCCTTGTAGAGGAAGTATGCATGGGTTTTAAAGGGGGGGAAGGTGGGTTATTGACTTCCAAGGGGTATATTTTCATTTGATTTTTGTTTTTTCCTGTTTATTTTTCTTCCGAGTTTAAATATAAATGAGCAATGAGCAGATTGCCTTGTAGAGGGGGTATACATGGGTTTTAAAGGGGGGGAACGGGGGGTTATTGACTTCCAAGGGGCATGTTTTCGTTTGATTTTTTTTGTTTCTTTTTTTCCCGAATTTATAAGCAGCATGACTACTGTGTGAATGAGCAGAACGCTCATCGCCCGGAACGATATACTCTTGCCTCACACCGGCCTCCACACCTTCGGGCCGCTGTGACTCCCTCCTTTGGTGCACTACCGTCTTCACCCGAATAGAACGCCCGGTCATTATATCCGTATTTGGTGCAGGTTTCAGTCCAGATACGGCTATAACGACCAGGCATTGTATTCGGGTGATAGTGCATGCCTTTGGTGGGAACATCAATTGTCACCCTGCAATCCTTTTTTTTTTTCTTTTTTTTTTCGTCACCCTGCAATCCTAGCTAAGGGCCTGCACCTAACCTGAAATCTACCTGCATAACCAACTGGCCTAGCACAGTTGGCACCCCCCCCCCCCCCCCCCCAAACTGTTGAAATGCAGACCCTTTTTCAAACTTGACTGGAAGCAGATGAGTAAAACTACGATTGGAAAAAAAAAAAACTACGATAATTCGGAATTGTCCTAGGGCCGGTAAAGAAAAAAAAAAAAGAAGCAAAAAAACGAAAAAGAAATCTGCCTGCGTGCGACCCTAAGTACTCGTGACCTCTTTTGGCAGCGGAAGCGGACCCTCCTCAGCCTACCGGACCTCCGTTGTGCCTACCTGAGGTGCTGGCAAATCCCTACAGCCTACTCCCCAAGTTCTGCTTCCACCCCCCTGTTCCGTCCTGACCTTTCGAAATCCGTTTGGCGCCCAATTTCATTCCTGGTCCTTTTCGTTTCATTCCTGTTCCTTTCCGCCTTTTCGTTTTACCTACTGACTACTTTGTCCCTGTCCAAAGCCGCACATACTGCCATCAGAGGTAGCGCAGGGACCCAGACGCGTACTCAGGCAAGCACATAACGCACCTACCTTGGTGGCAGGACAGACGCATATCACACACATACTTGGAACACGATCAACTACACAGCTTATATATACGTCTAATGCACCTTCTATTATATTTTGCTAATGCAGCTTATATATACTTTGTTTCGTTTATGGATGATTTGTGATGGTATGAGGATGTGGATAGATAGATAGATAGATAGATAGATAGATAGATAGATAGATAGATAGATAGATAGATAGAGATAGAGATAGATAGATAGATAGATAGATAGAGAGAGAGAGAGAGAGAGAATCTTGACGAAACAAAAACGTACTTGGAAAACGCAGAAAGGGCAGCACAACTGGAAAATTGGACGCTCCCTCCTCCTCCTCCTCCTCCTCGGATCAGAAGGACACGATGTGTCAGAAAAAAGTGGAGAATTCTGAGACTGCGATTGTGCGGGGGGGAGCATTGCGGAAAGTTACGTTCTGAAGCACAGCAGGCGAAGTACAAATTTGCCCAGTCGTTCTCGTGGAAAATTGAAGCTGCAAACGGTCCTCTAGCATTCATGAAGTGGTGAAGTTTATTGATCCGATCTTTTCCTTGATCTTGGTTGATCCAATGGTTGTCCTTTTACAGATTCCTGGTGTTCCTATCATGTATATTACGCAAAGGAAGTATTCAATTGAGAGGATGCCGGAGGCAACCATCGGTGGAGGTAAGTTCAACCACAGCAGTTCACCGACACCGGCCCATGCCATCCATCGTTGTCTATCAATGACTGTTGTGCTCTTCTTTGAATAGTGACATATAAGTTTGAGAGCAAGGCAAGGCCCAAGGAGATATCAACTTCTTCCTTTGTTTAGAACAAGCATAGTAGTATGGCGGCAGCGTGCTTAGAGGGAAGCATACGGAGTTCATCCAGTGCCATGTGTGATTGGTGGGGCTAGCATGCCAGTTAGGTATAGTGCAACGCAGCCCGGGTGTAGCACTGTGTGCTATTAGTCTATAAGTGGGCCTTAGTGGGTAGGGTACAATACTATGTGAAGTATTTGCAGTGCAGCTGCAGCATGTTGCGGTGTGTAGTAGTGTGCAAGGTAGCTTCACTGTCTGGGATTGCAAATGCTCGTTAGTAATAGCAAACAGGGGTAAAATAGTCCTTTGCAAAATAACACGAAGTACCTTCACCGTATTCAAAAGTCTGTATCAACAGCGGGGGAAAAAAAAAAGACATCACGTGGAAAGCAACGCAATCGCTTCTCTCTCCTCCCAATGTGTGTGTGTGTGTGTGTGAGGGGGAG